AGCAACCCACCTGAATGGCTAATAAAAAATACAAGTAATGATGGTCAGCCTTGCTATAGTACTCAGGGAAATGTAAATTAGAATAAGGAAATAACATTTCATATTGGTAAGATTGTCAAAATATAAAAACCTGATAAATTTCAGTGTTGGCAAGAATATTAAGAGAGAACTCTTATTAAATGCTGATATTAGTATAAATGTGCACGACTACTTTGGAGAGAGCAATTTATCATTATGTAGTAAAGTTGAAGTTCTGCGTACTCTAAAACCCTTTATCCCATCTCAAGGAAACTTTAGAAGATGGTCACAGGAGACATAAAAACATGTTCATTACATTGTACATGATAGTGAAAATTTAAAAGGTAATAGCCAACAATAGTAGAATTAATAAATCATGCCATATGATAAAACAATATAGAGCAGTGAAATTGAATGAACTGAGCTGCATATATCAACATAAATCTTGTGAATATAATATTAAGTGAAAAAAGCAAGTTGCAGAACAATACATACAGCATGCTATTTATATAAAGTTTTGAAACATGCAAAACTATATTATATATTGTTTATGGCTAAAAGCATATTCAGTAAGAATATAAAGACATGCCAAGGAATTATAAACCTAAATCTAGGATAATGTATCTGGGGAATAAAGGAAGGGAATGGAGCGGGAGGTGTACAAAGTAGCTCTCAAGTTTACCTGTAACATTTCACTTATTAAATATCTGGTGCAAATAAGGGAAAAAGTTAAAATATGATAAAGCCAACGGTTATTATCATTCTGTATCTGATTAATATGTTTCAATTAAAAATATAAATCCATTGGTTTTGGCTTCAGCCACAGGAAAAGCATCAGGGGAAAAGAAGCTTTGCTACAGGGAGTTGAGGAGTGAGAATGGGGAATGAGGTTCAAAAAGCATGGCAGTGAAAGTTTGGAGGAAATGAAGTAGTAGTTATGGAAAAAGAGTTGAAGGAGCATTTTGGTCACCACTCCCCAATATGTGAGATATTTGGGCACATTTATATATATAGGAGAAAATCAGTAGAGAAGAATTGAAGAGGTACAGGAGAAAAAGTTGTTGATTGGTGGAATGAGGTTTCTCAGGATTTTGGAGAGGAAGCATAATTAGGGAGCTTAGTATATAGCAAGAAGAGCAATACATCCTCTGCTAAGATAGGAGGAGGGGGAGTATGAGTACATGAAGCATCAAGACAATAAGAGAGTTGTTGCTGGATGATCTCTATTCTGCAAAGTATAAGAGTCCAGGGGTCTGTTGACAATAAGAAGGGAGGTGATACAATAGGGGTCTTGTGGTTGGTAGTGAAGACTTGAAGTTATCATTTGTAGGGAGTGAAAATAGAGGACTGAGAGTATGTGTGTGCATGCATTAAAGCCAGTGAACACATTAAAAGAATCACATTTCCACATTGTTGAGGGTCCAGCTAGAATCTGAAACCATGACTTTGTAGTTGGCTATTCCACACAGTTAAGAGACACTTTCTGGAATGTAGTTATAATAATTATGACAATAGCTAACATTTAATAAGCATTTGCTATATGCCAGATACTGTGCAAAGTAATCTAGATGCATTCTCTCATGTAATCTCTATAACCAATGGCAATGTAATTTATTTTCTTTTTATAGATGAGAAAATTGAGTCTCAAAGTTGAGTAATATGCCCAGAGTCACAGAGTAGGTTCTCAATTAATAGTTGCTATTCGAGGATCAGGAGAGAAGATGATTGAAATGATGGATCTGGTGGGAGTCTAGACATGTTAGATTGAAAAGGAAGAGACAATAAATTGAAGAATAAGTGGTGTGTTCAAGGGAGCAAGTGTTTTAGAATTGAAGGTTTGAGAGACCTGATAAGATGGGAAGTTGTGGTGGAAGATTCATTTCCCAAGTAGAGCAGTTATGTATAGTAGCAAAGTCTGGGGTGTGGCCATGGGAGTAGCTGAAGGTCCCTTGGAATTGAAGAAATGAAAAAACAATGAACAATCCATGAGAGCATAAGGTATTACATGAGTCATTTGCATATTTATCTAAGCCACTGAGACCAATAACTGCATTTGAGGTTGAGGTTGACATGCCTGTGAGCTATTTTCCCAGAGATAGCAATAAACAGCATAGGAGCAGGGACCATGTGTTTTTTGCTCATTGTTGTATCACACAGAGCCTGGTACATAGTAGGTATCATTAGATATTAGTTAAGTGCCTGAAACAAAATTTAAGTTTTTTCCAAACATGCCAATTAGTCCTTTCTTAAATGATTTTAAAAATTGTTTTATGATGTCTATGCAGAACAAATTGCCCCTGATTCTGTCACACCACTCTGCTCCTTTTTTGGTAGGATAAACATTTTATATGTTCCACTCTGCATATCTGATTATGGTATCCTAGGCTTCTATTGGTTTTGCTTTTGAATTAAAGACATGATTTAATACACATTTTTTATTCTCAGACTTTCTAAAACATAAGCTCGTGTTTTTAATTATACTAATAGATGAGTAATGGGAATTAGCTCCCTTTACTGAAAAGCTATCTGGTTTTTTCGTGTTTGACCAAAGTCTGTTAGGTTTGGAGGACCCTTTTCTGCCCACCATAAAGAAGAAGAAAACCCTCCTCAAGAAGAAACACTGAGCATTTGAATTAGTATGTTCTAATCAGAATATTCCCAAATTCGTAGTTCTGTTTTGTTTTATATTCTTTGTAAATAGTAATTGTAATATTTCTGCAGGAGAAAAATTTTCTCCTCTAGTCATGGCTGAATATGTAATAAGATATAAAGCCATTTTCAAGTGAAATGCGTTTTTTAGTAGGTTAAAGCTTTAAATGGCTACATTCCCACAGTTGGAAATACCAGTCAAGTTGTTGTCATGGTGAATTTATTTGAAATAAAACATCCCACTATCTAAGTGTTAAGGTTTTCAGGCAATTTTGAATGAACAAGGAACAAAGCAGTTGAGACTTTAGATGAGAATAAAGAATAGTCATTAACAGAATTCTGAAGTTTAGTTAGAAATGTATTTAGAAGAAGCTATGTGATAAAATTATAAAATGGCTTTCTTTGTTCCATTTTTACTGAGCCTTTAAAAAAAGTGTTTCATGTGATGCTGCTCTCTGCACACTACAAGCAGTACAGGTTTCCACAAGACTGTTTTTCAGTATACATCTGACACACAAAGATATAGGGTTCTTTTAAATTCACCAGTTTCTAATTGCTATCTTGCTTTTTGCCTTTCTAAAAATAAGAATATGATATCAAATGCCGGTTAGAGTAATTGGGACGGTAGCTGGGGGCAAAATGAGTACTTTGGAAGGATAGTGAAGAACTTCTTGATTTCCTATTTTGTCTCTAGATGGACCTTCTTGGTATTGATATTCCTTTCTGCATGTAACTGGAAGACCTTTAATTCACTGTTACAGACTGAGAGTTAAAAAAAAGAAATCTATAAGTCAGTGGATGAAATCTGTTTCCTCTCAGGCTTAACATTCTTTCCATTCATCTTCTCGTACTTCTTGTTTCTGGCTTTTTGGTTCTGTTATATTTCACAATTATTAAATTTCCAGAGAAAGTTTGATATATATTTTGGTGCAAATTATTTCTATCCTAAACTAGAATATTTTGTTTGGGAATAAATTAGGAACCATCATTTGAAGAATTAAGTTGGTAGTTAAGAACTAGTATCTCAGAGCTCTTAAGTCCCTCAAATAGTGAAATACATGTTATAAAAGTTAATGTATATTAAAATCCTGTATTTTTGGAAAAGATAAAAATTTCCCAACTCTGTTTTCTTACACATTATTGAATTATTATTATTAAACTTCAGATGAAACAAATCAATGCAACTTTACTCCCCCTAGAGGAAAGTGTTATATATTCCTTAAGTTTACAGAAACATTTCTTTACCATATTTTAGTCACATTTTTATCCTCCAGAGAATAAATGTAACTAGAGTAGATTCTTCTGTTTATTGTTAGAAGTTATTTTAGTGAAACATGTTATAAAATTTGAGTATTAGAATGTCAGAGATCTATTGATTAAGTTATAGGCCAGGCACAGTGGCTCACACCTGTAATCTTAACACTTAGGGAGGCCAAGGCAGGAGGATTGCCTGAGGCCAGGAGTTCAAGGCCAGCCTGAGCAAGAGTGAGACCCTGTCTCTACAAAAAATAAAAAAATTATTCAGATGAGGTGGCTCACACCTGTAGTCCCAGCTACTCAGGGAGGCTGAGGCAAGAGGATTGCTGAAGTCCAAGAGTTTGAGACCAGCCAAAGCAACGTAGTGAGACACGTCTCAAAAAAAAAAAAAAAAAAAAAACCCAACCCCAAAAATTATAATTTAGAAATACTGTAATATAAACAAACAAATTGTCCCCAATCTGGTTCTAATCTCTTAACTGTTACTTCTCCTCTCAAAGTCTTATTATATAAAAGTTAGTATTTCATTAATTTTGTTGATATCTTTAACCCAGCAATTCTATTTTGAAGTTTTTTTCTTTTAATTATAAATATAAAACAAACCAAAAAACCTCAACAAACTTAAGCGTCTGATCCTTCATACTAAAATTTTCATTTTTTTTTTTTTAATTCCTTGAAACATTGAGAGATACTTTATTCTACTTTGGAGAATACTTCTAGTTCTATGTGTTTCTGCTTTGCAATATTTGCTCTGTCTGGAAGAAAAGTTAAACTGATCCTTTGGAGAAATACTTGATTAAAATATCAGAAAAGTAACTAAATCAGATATTAAAGGTAAGTATATAAGGAGGAGTCTTTTTCAGGATGAGATTGCATCACTAGGTAGTCTTTCAAAGAGGTTCAAATCTCAGCTGTCAGCCTTTTTGAACTGAGTGATCATAAGTTGGACAATGATCAGTATGAACAATCTGATACTCATTTTAACATTAGTATACTGGTAATTATGTAGACTGACAACCAAGTACTTTTGCTGACACATTTTAGTGTATTTTTTAATATGTTACTATATTAAATATACTAAAATGTGTCATGTGTATGACTAGGTTGCCTAATACCTGTTATAGAAAGTTCTTAAACATATTTACAGTGTGTAATTTCTTGTGACATCTGTTCAGTATATATACTAATTTTAAGATAGAATTTTAATATCATTAAAATTGTGTATAGATATAGCTATATACTGATATGCATGTTCCATTTATAAAATGTGATAAATGTATTCAGCAATTTTTATTTTTAGTGTAAAATTGTATGTGTATATAATAGTTTCATACATACATGTTTTATTTATGAAATGTGATAAGTATATTCACCAGTTTGCATTTATTTTTTATAGAGTCATTTGCCCTGGCTCCATAGTTCCCACCCAGGATTAGAAAAAATAAGTGCTATAGTATGGGAAGGCAATGACTGTAAGAAAGCAGACATGTCTGTACTTGAAATCAGTGGAATGATAATGAACAGAGTGAGTTTTCAAATTTTATTCTTTTAGTTAAATTGTAAGACTTAATGATTACCAATATAAAATAATTATTGCAATGTTATATTAATGACCTACTCACCTCATTTTTTCACAGTAAAAAAGGTTACTTGTATTTGGTTTCATCTGATTTAAACAGTGATTTGTCCCTAAACCACTCTCATCTACTAGAGTTTTCATGCCTCTGGCCCATAATAGATGATACAGTCTAAAATTTTCCTCTTTTGTGTTATTCTTTCTTTTGCTTTCAGTGGATAAAACCGAGGAGCTGCTAGATGTATACAGGTGTTGACGAAGACTTACTTTTCTGTATCATCCTTACTGGTTCATTTATATATTAGTATCTAAAACATGGAAAAAAAACCTAGTAAATTTGCATTCATATTAATGCTTGCTTGCCTGCTTAAATATATAGAAGTAATGCAAATAGTGGTAAAAATCTTGAGTAGTTTGAAGAAGTATAGTACAAATACTATGGTTTTACTTTTCTGTTATTTCTTTTATCAGACAATTACTACTTTTATTTACTGATTTCTCTGGACAATTAGGCATGATCTAACATGCAATTCTAAATTTCTGTGGTACATCATTATGTAAAAACTCGTCTACACTTTATGTAAGACAGGAATTAAAATAACCAGATCTAGGAATTAATAAATACTTCCTGTTACATATATCAGCATGTGCAATTAAAAACAGCTAACTGGGGAGTCTCCAGAGACTTGCATCTAGTTGGTACTCTATAACTTAACTGTCTGTGAATTAGCAGATCACTTAACTTAGAATAGTCTCATTTATCTAATGCATAATATAAAAAATTAGCTACATGATACTCAACATCCATTTTAGTTCTACCAAGCTAGCATGTTGGAAACTCCTATATTTTCCCATTATTTCATTTCTAATTCTATTTTTATAATTCTTTTACCTTTTTTCCCCCTCTATTTAATTTCTTCCCCCTTTCATCTCTCTTCTAAAATGATTTTAGAGTTTAAGGAGACATTTATTTACATTTATTTGTGTATTAGACTCTTCAAAGAAAAACACAAGCTATAAATATATCAGATAAGTATAATTCTAGGGTTTTTTTTAACAAATTAAACTTCAGTGGATATGAGATCTCATTCTCTTTAATATTACAGTATTTGTGAATATTTCTAACTTCTGAAATAGAGATACTTTTTTTCCTAGATCTGGATAAGACTGAGATAGTTGGTCCTTTTGTCATCCTTTTACTAAATTACAGATCTGATAATGAATTGTTTTTGAAAACTGAAGAATTAATGACATTTTATGTGTAGTAGGCGCTCAAACTTGAATTCAGATTTCATTATTCATGTATTAAAACTAATGTAATTTAATGATTTCATATTACTCTCATATAAATAAAATAATGCTTAATAGGAATTACTATAGATAAAATTTATGTATAAATTTGTTTTTCTTTTTTCCTCTCTCCCCCTGGCTCCCTCAAGGTAAACAACCATATACCAGGAATAGGATACCAGATTTTTGGAAATGCAATCTCTCTAATCCTGGGTTTAACTCCATTTGTTTTCCGACTCTCTCAAGCTACAGACTTGGAACAACTCACAGCACATTCTGCTTCAGAACTTTATATGATTGCTTTTGGTTCCAATGAAGATGTCATAGTTCTTTCTATGGTTATAATAAGTTTTGTGGTTCGTGTGTCTCTTGTGTGGATTTTCTTTTTTTTGCTCTGTGTAGCAGAAAGAACTTATAAACAGGTGGGTATAATATTAATACAGACTTCTGAATAGAAAATAATTTATCCTTTTCATAATATTCAGGTATTCCTGAAATATTTTAGTATTTCATTAAATCATTTTTACTTATTTTTCTGTTTTGCTTTTATGGTACATAACCAAATAAAATCTTAACAATCCATATTTTGTTGATTTTTGTTTTTCTTTGGTAATCTACTTGAAAATTAATCCTCATCTTAATCTTTTTTAGCGATTACTTTTTGCAAAACTCTTTGGACATTTAACATCTGCAAGGAGGGCTCGAAAATCTGAGGTTCCTCATTTCCGGTTGAAGAAAGTACAGAATATAAAAATGTGGCTATCTCTCCGTTCCTATCTTAAGGTAGAATGGTAGTGATGAAAGTACTCTTAATATGCCAGCTCCCTGTGACAGTTCCAACTTCTTTGTCGATATGTATGTGTCTCTAGATTTGTAGTCACCAGCTTCTACTTACTCAAAAGCTGGATTAAGGATTTTGTTTCTACCTGTACTGGTTATCACAAGCCAGCAGAGGGAGCAGACTACTTAAAAAAGAATTTAAAAAAATAATCTGTAACCAATGAGTTTCCTTATTGAAGTAACCTATTACTATCTTAAAATTTTAGTTTACAATTCTATGTCCTTCTTTTAATGTCATTATTTTCCTTTAATCTTTTTACTAATTTTCCTTAAAAAACTATAGAGGAAAAAGGAAAACATCTGAATTAGTTTTAGGAAAACATTTTTTCTCAGGATTATTTTTTGTTGCATTAAGTAGCAGTGAATTCCATCATATTTAGAGTAACGATGCAACTTTGAATGATGTTCATTCAAAACACTGTCAGTGTCTTAGTAAAGTTGACCCAAAGACAAACTGTCCTCTGACATACTTAGATCTTTAATGTCTTTTATCTTGAAATAACAATGAAAGAAATAGAAAAGTTTGTACTATTTAGCCTTATATTTTATAATAAAAATTCATGTTTGTTTATTAATTTAATTTGTTAAATTCAACTCCATTGGAAAATAGCACAAATTGGCATGGATTATTTTTTTTCTCACTGACATTTCTGTTGTATGGAGGGATGAATATAATCTTTTATACTTGGCTTAGTGAGAATCCATCCATGCCATTCATTCCTGACGAGGTGAAGGTCCCTACCCTTACAAGCTTATGCTTCAGTGAGGGAAATGTGTAAACCCAGACCTAGGAATTATCCTTGATTAATCTCTGGCATCTAATTTATCACCAATTCATCTTTTTTCTGCTTCCAAATATATCTTAAATCCATTGTCTTCTTTTTGTTTCCATTTGTACCACCCTCATTGAAACCATCAATCATCTTCTACATTGGGCTACTACAGTTGCCTCTTAACTGACCTTCCAGCATTCATATTTCTTCCTTTCAATACTTTCTTCAGTCTGCCATCAGAGATCTTTTAAAAATGCAGGTTTGACCATATAATTCTTAAAACTTTTTGGAGTTTCTCCATTGCTCTTATGATAAAGCACAAAATCTTAACAGAGCTTATAATGCTCTTCATGGTCTAGGTCCTGCCTTGTCCACCTGTCTCTCTTGTCTCATTTTGAAACACTTTCCTCCCTCACCCGCTGCATTCCAGCTACATTAGACTGCTTCATTCCTTTCGATGCATTATGTTTCTTCCTGCTTTTGCTCTTGCATATGCTCTTTCCTCTACCTAGAGCACTCTCTTGTGCCATCCTGCCCCTGCCCCTTAGTAAATATTAGTAAATATTACTTCCTTAGGGAGATCTTCCCAGGCCCACACTCCTAACCCTCAAATCAATGAAGTCTCCCTGACAGTTTTCTCAAAGCACCCCTATACCTTTCCTTCATAGCATTCATAACAATTTATCGCAAAAATCTGTGATCATGAGCTTGCTGCGTCACTCGCCTGCTAGTTCCTGTAAAGGTAGAGAGACCATGTCTTTTTGTTCTCTATTGCAGGGGTTCCCATCCTTTTTGGCACCAAGGACTGTTTTCATTAAAGACCATTTTTCTACAGACTGGGGAAGGGGGATGGTTTCAGGATGATTCAAACGCATTACATTATTGTGCACTTTATTTCTATTTATTTCTATATTCATTGTAATATAGAAATATAAAATATGAAATAATTATACAACTCACCATAGGTTGGGGACCCCTGCTCTACTGTATTTCTAGCACCTAACAAAGTGTTCTGAGCAGGTGCTTAAGAAACATTTGTTGAATAAATAATTAGTATTTGATAAAATGAAATATTTGAAAGTTATGCTAAAAATTCAATGCTATATGACACCATTTTCACTCTGTTGCAAATCCTCAAGAAATAATAACACTGTATAATTAAAATCCATCTGACAGATTAGGTACATTTTTCAGCATTGTAAATTATGGTCAACTCAACAGTGATGTATCAACACCTTAATTGAAAGCATGGAAATTAGGTGCTAATTAGTAAATATATTTAAAAGTGTTTTCTTTCTTCCCCCTCCCAGCGTCGAGGTCCTCAGCGATCAGTTGATGTAATAGTTTCATCTGCTTTCTTGTTGACTATCTCAGTTGTATTTATCTGTTGTGCCCAGGTGAGTTAACTTGTTCCTTGTAGAAATTAAACTATCAGATATATATATTAAATTCAGAAGGCTTTCTAACAATAAATAATCAAAGTAACAATATAAGTATGCCTAGTTAGACAAGTTTAGAAACTGACTTTTTGCAGTTTATTTCTTTCAGTAGAATTAACAAGTACATCTTATCTTTCTGTCATGAGCAGTGAACATATTTGCTCAAATATCTGTTGACTAAATATATAGTAATTAATTTTTCCTTGGAATCCTTCTGATTATTTCTCTAAACAACTTATGAGTTATGAAATTGTTCCACAAATGGCTGATTTATTCACGTTAAATGTTTTTAAAAAATTTCTCATCTCTGAATTGTCACTGTGACTTGACTGCTGCGTGCGCTGAAAAAGAATGCGCAGTGGCCAAGATTAGTGAGGAAATACAAAAGTATCTTAGGATATACTCTGTGCTATAAAATATAAGGCAGTAAGACAAAGTTACCCTCTCTACCTCTTCTAGTCAGCATTTTGATGGAGAGCACTAGTCAGCAAAGACAGGAAAAAAATAAATAAATGGTATAATGTTCAGAAAGAAAAAAAATCATAGACTATATGATTATATATATAGAATATCCAAGTGACTTTACAGACACATTATTAAAAATATGATACATTTTTTAGAAGATCAAGATGAACAGAAATAGATTCAACATCAACACAAAAAAATCAGTTTTGTTCCCATAGAGATTAAAGATATTAATCTTAAAGATTAAAGATCCATAAAGAGTAAAGAGCTAAACGTGAAAAACAAAATTTTTAATTTGATCACAAATAAAAATTAAAATTTTACGTGCTAAAAAAAGACAGCATAAACAACAAATCAGAATCTAGGAAAAGATACTGGGAAAATATGATTTAAATCGGATTGTTATTCAGAATATATAAATAACTTATACAAAACAAAAAATAAAACAGACAACCTAATAGAAAAAAGTAGATATAGAATATAAAAAGGGGCCTAGGCATGGTGGCTCACACCTGTAATCCCAGCACTTTTAAAGGCTGAGGCAGAAGTGTTACTGGAGGCCATGAGTTTGAGACCAGTCTGGGCAGCATAGTGAGAACCCGTTTCTATAAATACATAAATAAATAAATTGGCTTAGCGTGATGGTGCATACCTGTAGTCCTAGCTACTCAGGACACTGAGGCAGGAGAGGAGGATTGCTTGAGCCCATGACTTTGAGGCTACAGTGAGCTATGTTCATACCACTGTATTCCAGCCTGGGCAACAGAATGAGACCCTGTCTCAAAACAACAACAACAAAAGAATATAAAAAGGTCACTCACAGAAGAGGAAACTCAGTGACCAATAAGCATATAAGACATATTTATCTTCCCTAAGTATCAGGAAAAGTAAGATTAAAACAATAAGAGAACTTTTTATACCCATCAGATTGACAAATGGTAAGTTGGATAATAACAAGTGTCAGCAAAAATGAGGGCAAGGTATACTGCTTTGGGATAATAACAAGTGTTAACAAAAATGAGGGCAAAGGTACACAATTGATACACTGCTGAGAGTATAAATTGGTACAACTGTTTTAGTGACAAATTTATTACATTTAATAAAGTTGAAGATGTAATACCCAAGGACCCAGCATTTTAACTCCTAAATATTAACTCCTAGAGAAAGTCTTACATGTTTGTACAAGGAGACACATAAGAATGTTTATTGCAACATTATTTAGAATAAGGAGAATTGGCAACAAAATAAATGTTAATTGGTAGGGTAGGCCAATAAATTATGGGTTGTTTTAACTATAATATTTTGTAGGCATCAGAATGAACAAATTTAGAGCTAAATGTATTATCATGGATAAATCTTGAAAACAAGATTCAGTGGAATAAAAAGCAAACTGAAGAATGATGTAGATAATATAACATTTATATAAATTTTAAAAATACAAAAATTGACATAGTTGAAGGATATATATGTAGCTAAACTATAAAAATGTTTATGGAAGAGAAAAACACAAAATTCATTACCTCTGGGGTGGAGCAGAGAAATTGATCAAGGAAAAGTTTAAAGGAGTTTTAACTAAATCTGTAATGTTTTATTTTTCAAAAATCTGAAAGAAATATTGCAAAATATTAAGATTTGACAAAACTGGGTAGAGGCTCCATGGACGTTAATTACATTATACTTTGTACTTCTGATGTGCTTAAAATAGTTCATAAGTAAGATGGAATGTTTTTAAAGTGTAATGCTATATTTATGAACAATTTGTATAAAGTAAAATATTTCTTTTAAAAAAAGAAATTGTTTCATTCACATTGGTGCTTCATGTTACCTTTTTCATACACTTCCAGCTGCTTCATGTGCATGAGATCTTCCTTGATTGTCACTACAACTGGGAACTGGTAATCTGGTGCATCTCCTTAACACTTTTTCTCCTAAGATTTGTTACCCTTGGATCAGAAACAAGTAAAAAATATAGCAATACCTCAATATTACTTACTGAACAAGTGAGTATGCATGCCTATTATGCTATAAATTAATGTCTATATAATGTACATCTTAAGTTAAAATGTTTTCATTTACTTTGATTTTTAGGAACATGTTTTATTTGATGAATGTCATTTGTGCTATAAAGCAAAACTTAAAATTTGATGGGACACAAGCCTTTCTTCAGTATTTCTGCCTTGATTCAGATTTCAAATCTACTTTTTTTATGTCCCATTTTCATTTGACAAGAAGGAAGCACCATTTATAGAAATGATGAATTTTAAACCATTGGTGGGATATGTTTGCTTTGCAGTGTAGCAGAGCCACATTTGAATAAGTATGAATTTGTACTCAATAGAAAGAATAAAGTGTACTGATTTTGATGGTTAATTTTATTTTGTATGAATTTGTTAAATATTTTCCTCTCACCATTTCATAGGAATTGTATAAAGAAACTTACTGCCAATGAACTTGTTGAATATTTTAGTTAGGGATAATTTGATTTTAAAGAATCATAACCTTGTTGAATAAGCTCAATTAAAGCGAAAGGAGAGAGTAGCCAACAAAGATAAAGATCTCTAAGAAAGTATACTTGGGCCTTGTGGAATTGGACAAAGTCAGCCACTTCCTCCAACTTGCTCTGAGGTTAATGGTTTCTCATTTCTGCTCTTCTCTGTACCTTTCTTCCAGTGGCCTCTCTGTAGACTTAATACCCTGTAATTTTGGCTTACATGTGATTTGGATTTGCCTCAGCATAAGCTCTGGCTTGGGCTTCACTAACTTTTCCGTTCGTGTTCCTGTAATATCTGGCAGATATTATGTTAGTCCCACCAGTCAGTACATTGACTAGCTTTCATTTGGGAGTACACCCTAGCCTAATAAGCCATGGCTGCCAGATTGGAGGTGCAAAAGTGAAGTCAAGTGGGATAAGCACAGTTGCCTAGACCAGCTTCTTCCACAGGCTTGAGGTTAGAGCATTTCTCAAAAATGGAACTATATTGTGGACAGGGCAGGCGTCCCAGAATTATCTATTACAGAATGGATAACCAAAATATACTAGTATATTTTGAGCGTCCGTTAAAATAAGAAATCACAAACCAATTGATTTATTCTAATTATTCTTTTTTTTTTTTTTTTTTTGGAGACAGAGTCTCACTCTGTCACCCTGGCAAGAGTGTAGTGGCATCATCACAGCTCACTACAACCTCAAACTCCTGGGCTCAAGGGATCCTCCCACCTCAGCCTCCCAAGTAGCTGGGACTACAGGTGTGCGCCACCACGCCTGGCTAATTTTTCTGTTTTTTTGTAGAGATGGGATTCTTGTTCTTGCTCAGGCTGATGTCGAACTCCTGACCTCGAGCAAGCTTCTCAGAGTGCTAGGTTACAGAGTTGAGCTACTGCACCTGGCATAATTATCATTCTTTAAGTTGATTTGGCTCTGGGATTAAAATGTCTCTCCTTTTAAATAATGCCATTGAGTTTTCCATTTTTGTTTGGCTTTTGATTACATTTGAAAAATATTTAAATAGCAGTTATTTTCCTATTATAAAATAATGTAGGTTTATTTTAGGAAATTTGGAATATTCCGTAACAAATAAAGAATATTAAAATCACCCATAAACTCAGTACCCAAAGAACCACTGTTAATATTTTGGTGAATATCTTTCAAATCATTTAAAAAATGTGTATGTGTTACGATTTTAAATATTTTTATTTACTCTTTTTTATAAAAGATAAACCTGTACTTGAAAATGGAGAAAAAACCTAACAAAAAAGAGGAACTGACACTAGTGAATAATGTTTTAAAACTGGCTACTAAACTGCTAAAGGTAAGAATAGAATTGAAAATAGATATAATGTAAAATATGCTGTTCTGTTGTTGTATTTACTCATCTGTTTATAGATCCTACCTTGTGTTTGGTTTTAGTAATTACTCAAATTGTTTCCAAATTATATTTGGGCACATTCATGCAATTTATATTTTACTTCTCATTGTAAAAGTAATCCAAATAATTCTTTGGAAATTATAGATTAAGACTTTTAATAATATCTAGGGTATTATAGAGGTTGGCCTCTTTGGAAATTTATACCTTCTGGAACTTAAAATAGATATCAGAAAAGATGATGTTAAGTTGGGAATTTTTTCATTTTCTGTTTCTCAAAGTAGTCTTCTGCTTGGCCTGAGTTATCTTAAAAAGTAGGAATACATAATCATGATAAATATGTATCATCAATAAACAATTTCTAAATCAATTTTGGTAACAGTAAAGGGAACACAATTTTGATGTATTTTGTTTTCTAAAAGCAGCAAGAGAAAAAAACTTTGGTGTATTTGGTCTCATAATAATAATTCTTTGGGGGTAATAAAATATTTTTACCACTGCTTTAGAGTATTAGTATGTATTAGTAATGCTTTTCTTAAAAAAATATTTTTTAAAATCTCAATTTCTATAACCAATTGAATATAATTCTTAGAGTTTATAAGTTTTCAGAGAATACTATAAAATTTGTTGTATCTCAGTGTTACAGTTAATTCTTCAGTCAACTAAAAAGTATGAATGGGGGGTATAGACTGTACACCTCACAGTATATTAGGCATTGAAAGGGTTCAGAGGGGCTGGGTGGGGATATAATAAAATAAGAAATTACAAATGGCCTTTTCAAATCCCTTTAAGTATCCTGAGGAAGATGATGACATTTAAATAATAAGCAAGATAATACAGACAAACTCCATTTTTTAACAAGATGCTCTATGGGAAAAATACCTTGAATTTATGATAGTTTTATGTTTGCTTGATACATGTATATTGGATATCTTTAGAGTGTGGGCACTGCGCTAGGCAGGAGGGGGCTACAAAGATATGACTTGATGAGCAGCTATGGTCTCAGAGTAGCGAGAAGTGTAAAAATAACTAATACAAAGCACAACAGTGTGATCCTTTTTGATCATGCATAGTCTCCTAGTCCAAAACCTGGAACTAAATGTTGATTGTACCTTCTTCTCTTTCACTCTTAACAGCCAAGAAATTCTCAAGTCCATTGATTCAATCTCTTAAATATCTTCTAATTCATCCCCTCTTCCCCATCAGCACTTCCTTTGTGAGACCTTGGTCTCTCATGTGAGCTTTTGATACACTGAACTCCTTATAGACATTCCTGCTTCTGGTCTCATTGCTCTCTAATCTGTCTTCTACATTGCTTGGCCCAGTGATCTTTCTCACATGCATGTGTGATATGCTATTACCTTGTTTAAATTCCTTTAGTGTTAGTCTATGTGTACAGTTTTCCTAAAGAATAACCCTTACTTAAGTACCCAGCTTTATGAGTTTATAGTACTTCCTCTTTTGTACTTGGGCTCTAACAATGCTAAACAACCTGTAGCAATTCAAATATGCCATGCTCTTATGTGTTTTACAGAATACCTACAAAGTTTCAGGAGCACCTTCCTCTATGGCCCCACTGCTTTTCATACACATCTCTATAATGGGACTCTCATATTTTAATTAGTTTTTTTACATGTCTACTAAACTGTAAGGTCCTTCAGGGACTGAATCTTCTCAAAGGCTAGCACAGGGCCTAGCATGTAATAGAACTTTAAATGTTTGAATCAATCAATTAATTGATTAATTCATGTATTTGAAAATGAGTTGGCTCAAAGGGGAGTTTTTACATATTGTTAATATTGTCAGAAAATTGGCTAATTAAGTTTCTGATTCTTCTGCAAAAAGATGTTGAGCTCTTTGAGTTTCTATTCTAGCTTTTGTACTACAAAATGTTCTCTAGCCTTATAGCTACTAACTAGACCAATACTTTACTCATTCATTCATACTCTGTCATTCATTGGGGACTGAAATTAGAGTTACAAACTTATTTATAGAATTCTTTTAAAGAAGTCACTTTCGCCTTAAAAACATTAAAACTACTATTAAAATTTACTTATTTCAAGTTCAGCCAGGTTTATCCTTTCTAAAAGTATCCATAATTTATAATTTTTTGAAAAGTACTTTTTAAAATTCTCATATATTGCCCTGAATTAGTTTAACTGGTAATTCTTGTTGAATCCGGGGCTAACTTTTTTCTCTTCTGCTAGGAATTGGACAGTCCCTTTAGATTATATGGGCTAACAATGAATCCGCTGCTTTACAACATCACCCAGGTTGTCATCCTGTCAGCTGTTTCTGGTGTTATCAGTGACTTGCTTGGATTTAACTTAAAGGTAAGAGCTTACACATACTTTTTGTTTCTTAGTCCCCTGTTGCGTTGTTGTAGCAGTTACTTTACCCTCTCGCTCTTTTGAGATCTCACATGCACAGTAATGGAGTCATTTAGATAAGATTATATACAATTAGTGAAAATAATTTCACATTTAACTTCAAAAAATGATATATATTCATGGCTTATACTGATGGAACTGCTATTAATAATTTGGAACAGTATTTACTATTAATGTATTACAAATAGGACTTCTTGTGTAGGATAAGTAGAGGTATTTATTTTTACTCATATAATTTGAGTCTAATTTAGATGATTAAAAAAAAGCACTATTTCTATTTTTGGCCAAAAGTTGTATTATTTATCTATATAGCAATATATACATCCTCCAATATATGCACAACTGTTAGTAAGGTGTAGGATAATCATATTAAACAAGTAGTATATGCGTATTGCCACTTCCCAATAAAAGAAAGCAAGAGAAATCTGATTTTTACTCTTTGTGTTTACAGTGAGTTCTTAAAAATAAAAGGGTAAAGGGGTTAAATATTAGAACCTGCACTGTTGGTGAATGGAATTTAAACAAAAGGTAGTATTATATGATATAACTTAAGTTTTGATATTAAAACTGTCTGTAATGGTCACTACTTCTATTTTTTTTTTTTCCTCTCTAGCTGTGGAAGATTAAATCATGATGAATCAGAAAAAAGATGTAGCCTCTTTTCCAGAATAAGAGTACTGACTAAGCTGCCTGAAAGCAGTCACTGATTCTTTGCTTCAGGAGTCTCAGCTGGGAAATTGAAGTGTTTACATCAGACTTTCTTGTGCAATTCTTATATTTATTTTACTTTTTCACTGTTTTTTTACATTTAGTCTTTATATTTTATTTTTAAGCATTGATGTACTTAGTTGTTGAAAGGGTGATGAAACTGATACCCAGATACTTGAGATCCTGGTAATTGCTCATAAATAATTGGCAAAATAACAAATTCTGAAAATAGAAGCCATTACTAAGCACTGTTTCTCCATCAATGCCGTGAACTTGCCTTACTTGATGAAAAATTCTTTAGCTTTGGAATATTGCATTGAACTCAGCTAAACAAATACAGCATTTTCTTTGGTAAATCAAGATTCAGTCAGGGTTTCTCTTGAATTATTTTGGAACAATGCCAGGATCTAAACTAATTAAGCTGCAGTTTAAGCACCCTTCAGTATTAATATATACGGTATTACATAATAGGTCAACAAGTGCTCTTTGATGATAAAACTCGTAATAGAGCAATAATTGTAAATGGTTACCATACTGTAAGATATTTTGATAAAAATTAACTCGTTATAATTGTATTTATTTGAAACACTGGGCTGTTTGCACAGCTCCAACTGTGCATGCTCAAAATGTGCACTTTTAAAAATTGTTACTTTTAATGCGTATCTTTATATGGGATATGTTATAGTGTACTAGGGCATGATATGGTATCCTTTTGAGTGAGGTATGTACTCATCTCACAAGTGAAGTGCCTATTGATATTACTAAAGTACATTATGTTTACTCAAGTAAAATAATTTTCTCCCTATGGTACACTATAGTGTATGCTATTCATACCACACTCAAATGAACAACTTAAGAATAAGGTTAACAACCAATAAAATATTCCTCTGATTATTAGTTATGAAACTATATCCAAATTTTTGGAAAAGACAGCTTCCTTGCAAATCTATCCTACAAACCTATCTGGTGCATTCTCCCCACCCGACCCCCATTATATAAGGGCTATTTTAGATGCTTTTAACCTAGAAAGTTAACCTCCCCTCCCTGCCAATAATTTGCCAACTGTCCAGTGAGAATTTATCATGTTGGCATGTTAGGTAAATAGGGCGAATATGATAGTATTTTACATTGGACCTTGATTTAAGTTGTTATATTTGTACAATCAAGAGTGTTTTAGGAATTACATGAAACATAAAATGTTTTTGTGATTTTTTTTTTTTTTTTTTTTTTGGAGACAGAGTCTCACTCTGTCACCCTGGCAAGAGTGTAGTGGCATCATCACAGCTCACTACAACCTCAAACTCCTGGGCTCAAGGGATCCTCCCACCTCAGCCTCCCAAGTAGCTGGGACTACAGGTGTGCGCCACCACGCCTGGCTAATTTTTCTGTTTTTTTGTAGAGATGGGATTCTTGTTCTTGCTCAGGCTGATGTCGAACTCCTGACCTCGAGCAAGCTTCTCAGAGTGCTAGGTTACAGAGTTGAGCTACTGCACCTGGCATAATTATCATTCTTTAAGTTGATTTGGCTCTGGGATTAAAATGTCTCTCCTTTTAAATAATGCCATTGAGTTTTCCATTTTTGTTTGGCTTTTGATTACATTTGAAAAATATTTAAATAGCAGTTATTTTCCTATTATAAAATAATGTAGGTTTATTTTAGGAAATTTGGAATATTCCGTAACAAATAAAGAATATTAAAATCACCCATAAACTCAGTACCCAAAGAACCACTGTTAATATTTTGGTGAATATCTTTCAAATCATTTAAAAAATGTGTATGTGTTACGATTTTAAATATTTTTATTTACTCTTTTTTATAAAAGATAAACCTGTACTTGAAAATGGAG